AACGCTTAAAATGTTTAAAATCATGGATACATGGGCAATAAAAAGAATATCTTTGAGTTATTCTTATTTCAATAATATTAGATAGTTTTCCGTATAGCATCTACTAATCAGGCCTTTATTATAAACCGCTTCACACAGAAATAACACTACAAGATAATCATTATCGATTGAAAACTGAAAAAGATATTTGTGAAAAATTATCCTTCTTAAAATATATATCATCAAGAACTATTTATATACATGCCCTAGTGAAATTACTCGTCCAGCGAGTACGACTTTGCAACATGAGTACTCAGATTACTCGAATGAATACTCGATGAATTTTATGTGTAACAATACTTTTCGTGTACTATGACGAGTACTCCAATGCGTTTTCTCCATAAGAATTACTCCTGCACGAAAATACGACTAATCGAGGTAGTACTCATCATCGTTTTTTCGAACGCATTCAGCAAAACATTTATGCACTAGGATACATGAAAATAAAATAATATTGCGTAATTAAGAACAACTATATAATGAAACGAAAATTACGAAAGAACTCTTTAAATAAATTATCAATTGTATCCTCTGTCTTTGGTGATGAGTCATTCGTGTGGCTTAATCAATTGGCTACTTAAATAATAGAAAAATAATTTCATTTCATTTCAGCTATTCACCTCTCCAGTAAGATCAAAATATTTATTTGAAAACACAAAATTATTTGTTAAACTTTAAAGCTTCAATCAAATATGAAATATCGTTTTAGATAAAATTTAATTTGTTTTGTTGAAAATTAATGAAAAAAGGAGAGCGAGAAAAAAATTCCAGAAACATGAAATTCAATGCTCTGATGATACATCTATCATACAGAAGACAGTTTACAGTTCTCGCAATTAGTGTTGATCATAAAAAGTCATTGAAAATAATAATGCAAAAAATTCTAGGTCCAATTGTTGTACGACTGAAGGAGTTACAAAAGCCAAAGATGTATCAGATATCAAATATCAAATATCCAATATGAAATAGTACATGTTTACCTTATCGGTATTTGCAATGGTAAACCTGCTAATAGTCTAGTTCAAAATCTTTCGGTTACTTAGGAGAATGTAAATTAGCAAGCCTAGCATTTATTGATCGAGGCTCATCATTCATGTCTGATACTCTGCATTCGATTTATCATGGTGCTTTCGTACGTCTAATAATGTTTCTACAACTTAGTTTAATATACTATTTTATTTATATAGAAAAGATTATTGCAACTATGGACCCAAACATAAAAAAGCACCATGGTGTATATCCGAGTGTCTTGATGAAATTAATATCGACCTGGGACATATACGATAGATCGCGTAGCATCTCAACAAAAAATCTAAATGATATGGAGTATTTGTTATCCAAATTTGTGGATCAATTTCCTTATCCTGAACAATACATCGTTCAGAATATTCGTGCAGTTAAGCATTTCGCAACAACTGTATGTGATTTTGGACCTTTGCTCAATTATAGTACATTTAATTATGAAAGCGTTAATGGTAAAATTTTTTCTGAACTATAATTTATACTAGTCATATTGCTTTTGCTCCGTTATGTAGGATATTTGTCAGCATCAATTCATGGTACCAAACGACTTGCCAGTGAATTGGTATTAAATCTTCTATTACATAAGCAAACGCAACCAAAAAGAAAAATTAGATAGGGGCCAACTTGCCGAATTTGATTTTGACTTACTATTCAAAACAGTACCAAAGAATTTCAAAGTCATAGTAATGAAATCAAGTAAGTTTTCACTTTTCATTCAGTATAATGAAATGCAAACAGCAAGACCTACTCAACAGTAACAAAATGTCTGACTTGCTCCTTTAGTCTTGTTTAAAAGCACAATATTATCAACAAATGATATTTTCAAGATCAAAAATATTCACCAATGCTGCTATAGTTTACAAATATATGGGTGCAATAAACTATAGAAAAATTCGAAAAATTTATTATGCTTCACAACAGAATCAACATTTTTGGGCAATACAACCACTTCAGAATACATGCTACGACACCTTGAATATCGAAGGACAAGTTTTTATTAATGAAAACGTTATCTTCGGTAACATATTATCAAATGAAATGCATTTGATCTCATTCGAACACGTTATCGAGAAAGCGTGCTATTATGAAAGGGATGATCTATACTATTTTGCACGCTTTCCAAATTTACATGAATCTTCTTAAAGACTATGTCCATTATCTTTCAGCTGACTGACTTTCAGCAACATACTTAAATAAACATTTACTTTCTTCATCTCTGTCAGTTACTCATTTAATGTGTTCACCCGCCAATTGAAACATCATGTAGAAAAACAGATTTTAAAGATAAATCATCAATCTACAAAACTCGCTTCTGCTTCAACATATATACCAATAAAATACCTCTATCAATGGTCTACACAGAGTGCTATATCACAAGAATCGTGTGCAGAAGTTTCGCTGATCGTGAGGGCTCATGATAACGTCGCGGTTTCTCGCATAAATGATATTCTACGGTATTTGGTACCGCGAGGGATAGAGGAATCACAGCGGCTTTGATGAACCACAGCTAGAGAAAACCGCCGAAAGAAGCGGTTTCACAATAGTGAGTGCGGTGCCCACCGAGAATACCGCGATGTATTTTGAACATCGTGGCATGGAGCAGTTCCAGTTGAAATTTTTTTACGTGGGTATACACCATTACATATTCAAAAAAAACTCACCTATTACTTGTAACATCAATGCTTATCTAGGACTTTTCACTTTTTTCTCTTTATATTAGAAATCTCTTGTATCAATAGGCAAAGGTAGTACCTACTAAAGACTACTTATCAAAAAAAGATTTGAACGAATTCTGACATGTAGTTCTCAAGAAAATGAATACTCAACATTGGATTTTCAGAAACCCCTGGTTTTTGTTAGTTGTATATCTAGAGTACTTAATTTTAGCAAAAATCGTATTTTTCTGGTTTTTGCAAGTACGTCAGCACATCGGAATTCTTAATTATGCGCCCGAAAATTACTGTATAGAGCCAACTTTGTATGCTCTATCCAATGGGCTAATTTAAATTTTCATATCATATTTGAAAAAAACTGAATGTTGCTGATTTACGGGGTTACTTTTCTAGAAGATGGGATTTTGAGTCCTCTGTGCAGGACTTAGCGCAGGATTTCAGTAAAAACAAAATATGGTTTCCTATACAACTCGACACGGGCTATAAAGCTAGCATGGTTAACTCATGTCTGCAGAAGGTCGTGCATAAAGTGGGCGGACCTGCGTGACAGCACCCATTAGTAGTATGAACACTATTTTTCAAACGTACCTTCATTACGTCACATAAGTTTGAAAACAGATCGCTGTTGCTTGAACTGTCTGACTTTTGAAATTAGAGGTTTGACTCAAATATCAACACTTCTTAGATATCTTAATTGAAGTCAAATGTATATGAAAATAATTGTTTGAATCCATCTAATAGGACGTTAAAATCAGTCGAAATCATTCGTTGCTTGCTTTGCTTTGCTTCAACACGGTAGAAATTATATTGACGATATACGCCCAATTCTTTTCAAGTTTCTCTACATTTATTGACTAAAAATAAGTTACTTGCAACCTTTGATGATCATGACATAGTTATTCAATCTAAAACTATCTGATGAGCACCCTTCAACAAGGTCGAAATCTAGATCGGGAGTAAGCTTGATACACTCCACACCCACCCAGACTGTCTGTAATTGATCTAACCTACAGCGAAAACTGCTGTTTTTTATGAATGCCTGATTTGTTCTATCCTTTTCTCTGCATTCGCTAATAGGTGTACGAGAATTTTCTCTTACGTGAAATAACACCCAGGCTCTATTCATGGTATACTTCCCACCTTGAGTATTTTTGTTTCGATAAATGCAGTCCAGTTATCAAAGAATGTTCGTAGTTGAAAAATATTTCTATGCAATAAAAACAAGGTAGATAAGATAAGCAAAAAGTTACTCCATAAAAGGCAGCGCACAAACCATTCGAAAAAAACACAAACGCTCTCATACACAAAACAAGGTAAAGTCTTTAACAACGTAGTACTGAATTTTTTATAGTTATTTTTATTGAAATTATTTGACTGCGGTAAGTGACTTTTAGACTGTTTTGAATAGTAAATTGAATGAGCGAATTATATTAGGAGGTATCAAAGCCATAGAAGAGCTAAAAGTAACGACTAGCTTTTAGTTTAGTAAATCGACTGATTAATGTAAGTCATCTTACTGTCCAGCTGAGTTTTCACCATTAATTTCACATTTTATTAATATTGTCATTTGTCTTAAGTCAATGATGTTTTTTTTGTATTATACGGTATTACTGCTCTTTATTTTACTCCATTATATTAACCAAATTATCTCACATGAACAAACAATGACCGAGTTCTCACTATACGCTAACCAGAAATTTCTTGTGAAAAGTTATAATTTTAAAATTTTAACTTGCTAAAATATGACTGGATTGTTTGCTTCATTCCAGTCAGAAGCTTGTCTGGGTGGTGGTAAATACTTTCTCCTTCATATCAATGAGTTAATTTCAAGGGACGAACCGCGAATCATGAAACTAAAGAGTTTCGGTGTTTAACTGCAGTCAAATAAATGGCTGATATCCGTGCCTATACCAGCCGCCACACTCCCATTCTTCTAAAAATAATCGAAACAACTTTGAAAATTGCGCGCATCCTTTTATTTTTTCATATCATAAACGAGTGTAGATGTGTATACTGATAAGATTTTAAACCACACGCATACGCGCGCACGTACACCCTCAACATATCAGTTATCACAACATCGACATACTGCGGTTGTTATCAGTTTTAAAGAACCGAAAAATTCGTGAGACTTTTGCGGTTAACTTCTTCAAGTTGGGTGTGGGTGTTCATATTCAGTTTAGTCACATCCATATATGTATGGATTGATGATAATTAGTCTTTTTTTATGTTAAAAATGTATTTCTACTTTGTCGCTTTAGGAAAATGACAAACACCGATTGCGTTGACGATGCATTTACACAAATTGATACAAATCAAGATGGAGTGTATGAATTCAGAATTTTTATCCAAGCATAAACACATATTTACATTTTTAGTATTGATAAAGATGAATTTCGTAATATAATGGGAAAGTCTGAAACAGTAACTTCAACACCATGTGAAACAACAACTCTGGGAGTTAATCGATATGGTAGTGCTACTATTCGAGATGAACGATATGGTAGTGCTACTATTCGAGATGATCGATATGATTATGCTACTGTTCGAGATGATCGATATGGTAGTACTACTATTCGAGATGATCGATATAAATATAACGCTATTGGTTACAATGATTTGGGTTGTACGGCTGATAAATATACTACTCATGGAACCACATTAGCAACTCGTGACTTGATTAATCAAACGGCGATTGTTACTAGTTGTTCAGAAGAAACGAGCCGATATCTGGAAAAATATGCTAATAATATTTATATTGATTCGAATCCACAAATCATTCGACGAACAACAACTGAAAATCCAGTAACATATGAACAGCGAGTTCTTGTTCGATATCTTCAACCACCACCTCTTCCACCACCAGAAGTAATAAGGATAATTGTTAATAAATTCAATTTCACTTATTTTTGCCTGATTTCAGCCACTCATCATTAAAGAAGTGTGTCCAGACCAACCACCACCGCCTCCACCACTTATCCTACGTGAACAGGCGCCACCTCGTCCTTCGCTACCTCCGCTGGTCTTACGTGAGCGACCACCAATACCACCACCACGTCTTCCCGGCGAAACAAGTGATAAAAGAAATTTAAGTTAAATAGATAAAATTAGTGAATGAATTTTATTTTCCAGTTACTCGTGTTTTACCTGCTGTACCTGTTCCCCCAAGATCAGTTGTCATCGAACGTTATCCAGCTCCTCCTGAAAAACCACGTAAAAAATTATTTCCATTTTCTTTTTTCTTTTTTTAAATTCAGATTATTGTTTGTTTTGTTTTGTTCTCTAGGCGATATTATTATTGAACGATGGCTCCCATACGGACCTGAATCTGCGCGCCGTACGATTGTTCAACGTGCTTGTTGTGATGTTGCATACCCACAACCATATTATCATATAATTGTTTATGATGGCGTTCAAACGCGTATAATACGAAGATTTGAAAACCTTGGCGTCGTTCAAGAATGTCCTGACGCTTACAAAGCTCGCTATGGATCATCACTTATTGATTCATCAACACTTGTCCAAAAGGCTCGTGATGCAGGCGTTGTTGAAGATATAGTAAATTTCTTTAAAAAAATACTTTCAGCAAAAACTATACATTTTTTCATGATAGTCTCTTCGGTCACTATCATCTTCAACAATTGTGAATGATCGCAGAAGTATTGTTGATTATGATCGGTCAAGAGAAATAATCAATCAAGGTTGTTCATCAGTAGGTGGAACTAGTTATGAAACAATTCATCGAGTTTCTTCTGGTGTTGAAACTACTAATCTTGGTAATAGAAATTCTATATTATTAGGATCGCACTTAGTTGATAATGGCGGTTCATCTCGCACTGTTTATCAAACCCAAAGTGGATTTGTTGTCGGTGATACGAATTGCTCTAACTAATATTAATTGTGATTGAAAATTAAATCGAACAGCGTATCAACAATATATTTAAACAATATTTAGCTAAGATTATTCTTTTTTTATTCAAAGACATTTCTCCTATGTAGTTTTTACAACAGAATATAAACTATTTAATAAAAGACAGAAAAACAGAAATAAATAGATTGATCAAATAAAAATGATACCCATATCAGTTGAATCGTGTTATTTTTATATAGCATGATGTCATAGTTTTACAACAAGTTGTTTTCACTAGGCCCGTGACATTTCCTAACCAGTTCTTATTGATACAGACTAATATAATATCAAAATATTCGGGTTTTATTGCTGCTATTCAGGTTCACTCTGGTTACTTTTCGTGATCGCATTCATGGCAGTTTTTTATCACATTCATCGTAAATTCAGTTTATAAGAAAAATATAGTGATACCAATTCTCGAAGAACGAGCTGGCACCCTGATCAAACAATATGATCCGTATACGACCAGTAATCCAGCAAGGTGTTTTACGACCGTATTTTTTGTCGTATTTTTGTCGTATACAATATACTGGGTGACACGACAGTTGAGCACACGACAGTTGAGTGCCGACAGTTGAGCGCTCATTGAACAGGTGATTAAAGAATACAAGAAAATAATTTTATTTTAATAAATCAGATTAACATCAAAAATTGAAGAGAGCTCTTGCTCGCTTAAAATATAAGTCTCTTGGTATGAGATCAAAAGAAGAAGCAAGCTGTTGTAATTGTTCATCCAAGAGTTCATATTTTACTCTTTTAACTTTTTTCACAAGTCCAGCTTGTAACTGTTCAGCCATTACTAAAGTTGCATGTTGTTCCATTTGTAAATCTTTTATTGATTCATATATTGATGGGTTTAGTCGTACTGAATGCTAAAAAAAGAATAAGCTATTGTTTAGAAAAAGTACTTCAGAAATAAATAGTACCTGAACAGCACGATGCCAATCCTCGTTTGAGTTGTTCGTTCTAGGAAGTTGATTGTCCAAACGAGAAAAACAGCTCCAAATGGCTATAGGAAATCATGGAGCCGGACGTCTTTGATTACGCACTCGACGACCTATAAAATTGTCTTCGTAGTAATCTACAAAATCTAAATAATGATAAGAATAAATAAATTTCTTCAATGATGAAAATATATTGTACCGTCTAGTGAATCAGGCGAATCAACTTGTAACTTTTCGAACTCTTCTATCACGAATTGTTCAGGTATTAGTGCAAGACAACCGAAATTTTTCAAATAACGTCGAACTTGACGATCATCAACAAAAAGTTTTTGTAATCCATGAGACTAGATAAAAAGATGAAATATCGTTAGGATTATATAAACTAATAATGTTTATGATCAAGTCAACTGACGTTAATTTGTCTCCACAAACACTGTTTAAAGTGGAAGAAACAACCCTGAACTGTTGCCATTGGAAGTTTTTTCTTGATCACGTTGTGAACAGCCTTTTCATAGTCAGTTGTTATTGATATAGGACGTTGAGAAATATGCTGCATCACAACGTCAATTATTTCACCGTAGATTTCCTCAGATTTTCCAGAAATTATACAATAAACAGATGGTAATGCACGTCCACATATGACACCATGAATGGTGTACAATTGGTAAAATAAATGTGGAGCTATCTACGAAAAAAAATATACATGAACAAATCGTTGAAAAAATTAATTATCCTTATTATGCGTACCTTAAATGTACCATCTGCGTGCCAAAACTCTGAGTTAGATAGACGATCTAGATCGTCATCCGACGATAATATAATCATTCGATTAGTACTACTTTCATTGTCGTACAATAAGAACCTGTTTCCTCCGTTAGTTACTCGAAGTTCATCAGGAATATGAATCTCATCAAACGATTTCGGTCTTGGTAATGGCATTTCTTTTTTTTTTCTCTTTCGTTGAATAGTACGTTGCGATGATGAATAATTTGGAACAGCTGTTCCATCTTCTTTGCTAATACCAAGTAAAACTTCATGAATAATACGTCGAGGTGGATCGTGCGATGTTATTGCGCTATTCACAATTTTTGATTTATATTCTGTTGCTATTGTTTCTTCAGGATTAGGTGCATGAATATGATCGTTGACTTTGATATATATTGCACCATCAAAAGAAGCACGACCTCCACAATCATTTCTACAACATCGCCAGATAGTTTGAGATTTTCTGTCACGTCTGTAACGAAAGCCATCAAGAAGAAGTTGATCCTTATTTTTTGAGGATTTAACAATTGACATTATATAATTATAATAATCTAATAAGATATACTACTAATGAAATGTATACAGATAAAAATACTTTTATTGGGCAAACTTATTCGTTTTCGTACAGATTATTGATTTCGGTATGGAGAGATTTAATAGCATGTCATCAATCTGATTGGAAGATGTCGCATGTTTCTGTTTATTAATTTTGAATTGATCAATATTGATCTTCTTTCATTCACAATTAATCAATAAGCGCTCAAGTGTCGTGTGCTCAACTGTCGGTGCGCTCAACTGTCGGTGCGCTCAACTGTCGTGCGCTCAATTGTCGGCACTCAACTGTCGTGTGCTCAACTGTCGGTGTACCAGAATAAACATCACAGAGAAACGATATCTGTACATTTCACGCTGATTTCGACATAAATTGCTTCTCTTGCTGCCGTCTGTGGAACAAATCTTCTTCGGAAATCATTTTTTTAATTTTTAGAGATGAGCTGTTTTCTACAGACAAATTTATCGTTTATTTATTTGAGTCATTCTTCGAGTTTGTCTTTCTTCAATTCACAACAAAATTGATTATCATATATCGATATAAGAAGTAACTTACATAAACTTTTGCTCTAATCTTCGAAAACAGCTGTTTATATCAGACCACTTCGCTAAAAATATCTCAACGACTCCTCTAGTATGAGTATAGTATCTATCTAAGATGCATTCTAAATAAAATCCTTTTCCTGGGCAACGAATAGGAGGTTTCCGGGTTTGTCACTATATGAAACCCTTTATAGGTTTCTGTGAAAGGGTTTCCGAGCATTTGGAAACTTATCTGAAACCCTCACAAACAATCAAGCCTATTGGCGATCCCAAAAACCTATCGAAGGTTTCCGAAGTATCGGAAACCTTTCAAACATTTTCCACTGCTACACATCAGCAGCCGGTTCACATAGTCATCCGATATTGTCAAATTCGTTTTTCGTTATGAATAGTATTTTAACAGCAGACATCCAAGGGTTCTCAAATCCATTGCAGTCACGAAGTTTCCATGAATCTAAAAGCTCAAAATCCTAATTCAGCCTTGCTCAGAAGGCCTTCATCTTCGTCAATGACATTGCCTTCCAATTAAGACCTCCGATGCCTGTTCGAACGTATAGTGCCACACTCTCGTTATCTATAAAAGTCAGGATGCTTGCTAAAATCAGAGTCCTCAAGGCTTAAACTCCCGAATTCGGAGTTGAAATCAGCCTAAGTCTGAAACTAATCAATATTTAAGTTTCAGAAAGTCATAAACTCTGTAGGTTCTCTTAAGTCAATTTTTGCGGTCAGTCGAGATCTGCGAATATAGTACTTCGTCAGAATTTATTTATCATAAATCAAAATGGAAAAAAAAGTACATACAACTGAACAAAATAAACTCCGCATATTATAATTCATTTCATAAGCCTAAAGGAAGAAAACTAATGTATGTTATTAAATAAAGCAAAGTCACCATATTATAACTCATTTCATAAGCCTAAATAGAAAAAAATAATACAAATAACTGAACAAAACAAACTCACCATATCCCAAGTCACTCCATCCTGCCTCCGGATTCAGTCGGGATCCGTCGGAACCGGCACCGGATAACACCAGAAGACGGCATGATTCCCACTAAAATCTGCCAGGATCCGGCAGGGATTTCGCCGGAATCTTTGCTCCCGGAAACCCCGTCGGAATTCAAAGGAAAATGATCCGGTCGTTTCCTGCCGGATA